GACTAATAACTCTTCTTTGTCTAGTCTGCCATGTTTGTTGTTTTTGATCCTTGGGCCTCATCTATGCTAGGCAAGTGCTCTACCACTGAGCTCTACTCCCATCCCACTGTAACTTCTTTTTTCTTTTTTTTGATCGGTCATGGGGTTTGAACTCTGGGCTTGGGTGCTGTCCCTGCATTCTTCAGCTCAAGGCTAGCGCTCACCACTTGAGCCACAGAGCCACTTCCGGTTTTTAGTGGTTTATTGGAGATAAGAGTCTCACTGACTTTCCTGCCAGGGCTGGCTTTGAACCACGATCCTCAGATCTTAGCCTCCTGAGTAACTAGGATTACAGGTGTGAGCCACCGGCGCCTGGCTTCTTTTATCTTCTAGAAAGCACCAGTAAAGGCTTCTCCATCAGGAATGTAATTTATCTTAATGCCAGTTGACTATACTTTATTTGGGCCCAGGGAGCCCAATTTGAAATGGCTTGCTATTTTCCATATGTCACTAGCATCTGTTGGGTTCTAATGAACCTTTGCTCATATTTGTGCTTGTACTACCAGTTTGAAAAATTATCCCTCTCATTTAAGATGGAATAGAAATAGAAACTGAGTCCTCCCACTGGTGTTCTTGCTTGCACACTTGTTCTCTCCCTCTGTCACCTGTTCACATATATCTTCTTAAATGACTGTATACTTAAAAATGTGCACCTGCTACAGCTATATTAGTTCCTGTAACTTACCAACATGTTTTCTGTGTGGCTACATCATGTTCTTTACTCATTTCTCCTTTTTCTTCTTTAAGATCACGGGGATTGCTACTATTGTAAAACCTTTCCCCATATCCAAAATCTTTCATTCCTCCTAGATATGAGTCTACTTAAGAGTCACTGTGATTTCTCATACAAATTCTTGTTTGCAATATCTAGGGGGAAATATCTTTGTACCTATCTCTCTTTTTTTGGCCCATTGTGATTATACAGTAGTACTTAGGATGATATGGTTATATTTCCAAAAGTTTCTTTCACTTCTGCTTTAGTCACTCACTTCTTCTTTTTTGGTCAAACTTAGTCACAGAGTTTTTAGTTCCTCTCATTGCTTCCTGAGCATCCTAAAGGATGATATTTCCCTCTTACAAATTCAGCACAGCCCTTTCCCTTTCGTAAGCATATTCTTCTTTGGCCAACACTCCCTTCACTCATCTCCTCTGCCTTCTTGAACCTTGTTCTTTGGTCAAGAAATGTCCATGTATTTGCAACCATTTTCCCCCCTGAAATTCTTTCCCTTGATGGAAGTTTTAGTTTTTGCAATTCTCTTGAATGGAAGCTACTCATTCACTGATAATTTCCCACTTTCAAAATGTTGTTCAACAACTCTGCTTTTGCCTTTTTTCTTTGACCTAGCTATTATTAAGTATAATGTCAACTCTCTTTTGGTGCAGACCAATGTTTGGGTTACTTGCTTGTGATTTGTGGGGCTTCTGGCACCTATCTTAGTCTTCTATGCTACTCTGACTCCTGCTTCTCATCTTGGACCTCATTAGTAGCCAGATGACTCCATCCCCACACACTCATATAACTTTCATTTTCACTCTGTCTTAGTAACTAGTCATTAATCATGTCAACAACTGGAATTTTTCTACTTCTGACATTCAGCTTTTCAACAAAAAAAACTTCTAGCCTTCTGCATCCATTGTTTTGTATTCTCATAGAATGTTGGGACTGCATTATCACCATTTCCAGTTCCTTCCCTTTCTTCTTTGCCTTACAACCCTTTCTCTTGGTTCTGCATTCTTTCCCACTCAACAAGCATTCCCACTTCACCTCTTTTTCCCCCCTCACCATTTGATATGAATTCCCACAGTCTCCTCAATTCCCTCACGACCTTCTAGTTCCGCTGCACCTGTGCTGCCAATCCCCAAACCTAGATGGACTTTAACAACTGTTTTCTTCTGTCCCCTTCCCAGGCTGTGGACTAAGAACTAGGGAAAATTGCCTCACCATGCTGATTATATCCATGACCACACTGGGATTTCTAACCACAGCTGGGTCCTCAACGGCTGTTCACTAATCCCTTTTTACACATTCCTACTTGGGTTATTTTCTGTTTTCCCACAGCAACTGTTCCATTTGCTTACCACACCCTCTAGCTCCTTAATTTAGTCCTCTTGTTTCCCTAATTCCCCTTCAGTAGATAATCTAGTTCCATATCTCCTTGCAAAGGGAAAGCCTATGGGTCCCAAATTCATTGCTTTCAATCACTTACTTCCATGGCTACTTTTGTCTTCATGATTTTATTGGTATCATCTTTTCCAAGGCTAACTTTGTTTTCCTTTTTACCCATCTCCAGATAACTCTTTTAAGTACTCTGTCCCATTAATCATCTCCATTCTTTTTCTTGTATCTGAAGCATTTTCCCCAAAGAGTTCACTTTCTTCTGCCTGGAAACATGTCCAAGAATCCCTCTTTCATTTCCTACATCTTCTTTTTAGTCCTACTGACCTCACAAACAAATGGGATATCTTTTTCCTTCCCATTTCCATAAAATATGTTAAAGAGTGATCTGTGTTTCCTCATCGTTCAGTCTTCAGCTCATACAATCTGACTTCTGCACCATTCACCTTTCACAAGTTAGCATGATTTACAACTTCATATTGAGGGGATTGTGTGACCCAGTATTCAGAGAACAGACAGTCTGTGCATGTGCATATGAAGTTGCCTGGGCCTGTTTAGAGGAAAAAAGTATAGGGTTGGAAGGACAGAATTCAATTTTGTATCTTTCTTCTGTTCTAGGGAACTTCACTATTTCCTTCTCTTTGCTTTTAATTCTCATGTAGATGTTATTTGTCAGTTTTTCACATTCTAATTTGTCGAGTCGCATATAAAACATTACATTTTAAAGCCAGGTGCTAGTAGCTCATGCCTGTATTCCTAGCTACTCAGGAGGCTGAGATCTGAGGATCTCAGCTTGAAGTCAGCCTTGACAGGAAAGTCCATGAGACTTTTATCTCCAGTTAACCACCAACAAGCCAGAAGCAGAGATATGGCTCAAATGACAGAGCACTAGTTTTGAGCAAAAAATGCTCAAGGACAGTACTCAGGCCCAGAGTTCAAACCCAGGTCCAACACACACACAAAAGTACTACCTTTTTACTACAAATGATGATGATGGTGATAATCATGATGGTGATGGTCATGATAGTGGCCATGTTTTGAGTGACTACTCTGTACCATACATTATGATGGATATTTAAATACATTCTAGCCTCTAAATTTCATCAAGAATTTAGTAAAGTAACTATTCTAATGCCCAATGTATAGATGGACCAATTAAGGTTCAAAGAAGGCAGGTATCTTATCCAAGATCAAATGGCATGTATGAGGCAGCACAAGCACAAGGAGATGAATCCTGATCAACCTGGATGAAGTACCTCTCTTTAATGACTCTACTACTTCCTCCCTACTACTTCCTCCCATGACAAAATGCCAGAAGCCATCTCACCAGCTCTGGCTGGTGATAACTGTGAGATCATATTTGTTTTCTGGTGTGCCAAGTACTCCAGTGACCTTGTTAGCAGTACACTGAACTCAGTATATAGACTTGTCAAGTTCTGGGCATTCCTTCCACTCTGGATTTTCTTTTTTCTCACTTGTAATGGTATTTTTCTTTTCCTTTTATTTAAAAAACATTTTCATTTAAGTCCCTATTTGTCATTCTAGTAAATTTCCAGCCAAAATAATTCTTTCGGGTATTGTGAAATTGTCTCCATCCTTTACCAGAAATCCATGATTCTGAGATCTCAAGTGATTGTCCAGAAAAGCAAACCCTGTCTTTCAACATCGTAGAAGTACCAACATACTTCTCATTTCCTCTCTTCCAGTTATAATTCATGACTTTTAACTAGAAGAAGCAATGAAGTTTCTATATCCCTTTAGAGTCTTCAGTTTCCTAGTTAGTATTCTCAGTCAGTAAAAGTATATTTGAGGTTCTTGCTTGTATCATTTCATCCCAGACCTAACCACTTACCAGATTATAAAGAAGCTGGAAAAGCCAGGCTCATGTTAATGCCTGCAATCCTAACTACTCAGGAAGCTGAGAGCTGAGGATTGTAGTTTGAAGCTAGCCAGGCATGAAAAATCATCATACCCTTATCTCCAGTTAACTACCAAAAAGCTGGAAATAGAGCTGTGGCTCATGTGGTTGAACACTAGCCATGACCACTAAAGCTCAGGGAAAGCTCCCAGGCCTTGAATTCAAGTCCCAGGGCTGGCACTAAAATAGAAGCAGCAGCAGCAGCAGCAGAAGCTGGAAGACATAAACCATCATGACCATCTCACTGAAAGAGGCCAAAATATCCAGGATGTGGGAATCAGCTGAGACTGAGAAAGAAATGGCGACTTTTGCTATTAACTGGCTGAGATAGTGGCAAAGTTAATTGGAAACTGGAAAACTTATTTCTCTCCAAGTCATGTAGCCAGCTGTAAGGTACTAGAAAGACTTCCTTCCCATGGCTATTGTTTAATTAGTCTGTGATGCACCTAGACCTTCTTCACTCTTCTATTACTGGGGATTCCAAACTGCTGAGGTTCTTTCCCTCTTAACAGACCCAATCGCTAGCACATCCCCATTTCACTCAGTCCTTCCTTAGAATGAGTAAGTGATCCAGAACAAACTTCCCACTCCTTTCTTAGGCCCTTCTTGTAATCCTTCAGCATGAACTCACAGAATCTTTCTTTCTCTTTGGGACTTCCTTTTTCACCATTGGAAGCCATGGAGAAACCAGGCTGGGGGCTGAAGGCCTGGCTTAAATGGAAGAGGGCCAGTCATGAGCAGAAGTTTAGTTCAAGGTCTTTTCCCCTTAAAGCAAGCGCTCTGCCACTTGAGCCATGGCTCCGCTCCACTTCTTGCTTTTTTTTTGTCCTGCTCAGGCTGGCTTCAAATTTGTAATCTTCAGATCTCTCTAGAGTATCTAGGATTATAGGCCTAAGCTACTGGTGCCTGGCTTCGATCTATTTAATTTTAAGTCTGATCTAGTCCCATGTTTCCTGCCTTGAACACGAAGGCTTCTACTTCCTTTTTGGTGTGAGGCCCAGGTGTAGTGATGGTAACAAATTGCTGTTGTGACTGATGTGGTGCTGTGTTGATTAGAAATGAATGCAGTATTAGAATGACAGTAAGGAGTTTGTATACCTGGACCAGTACTACAATTGGTAAAAGGGAGTCTCAGCTAGTGATTTTCAGAAGGAAAAAGGAAATGAGAGTCAGAATTTGGTGTATGTATGTATGTACAATGTTTTGGTAGTAGTAGGGCTTGAAGTCAGGTCCTTCTGTATAGTCAAAGAATAAATCAATTAAAAATCAAAAGAAATTTCAAAATTAAAGCAATTAAAAGTTATTACACATATACCAAATTGATGCAGAGAAGCTCTCAATCAGTCCCACATTATTGCCAGTTGTATTCAGATCACTGTGTGATCTGCTGAATGTTCTCTACCCATAATTTTGTGAAAATCTGCCTCTCAGAAACAAATGGTACCCCCAAAGCAACATAAAGGTGAATGTGCATAGTCGGAGTCATAGATACTTGTTGAAAGGTGGCATGTCTTTAGCAGAAGTTAGGTGGCATAGATTATGGAAAAAGTGAATTAAGCATCCACAGTATGGCACTGAATTCTGCATTCTGAGCATGTGTAGATTTTCCTCAATGGCAGCTCCTTGTAACTATGGGCACACCAGCATGAAGGATCTACTGTATACGTATATGTAATCTATTTCTAAACACACATGTTCTCTGTGTGTGTGTGTGTGTGTGTGTGTGTGTATGATTCTGGTCTTAATGTTTGTAACAAAAGAAATCCAATTTCTCTCCATAGAAGATATCTCAAGAAAGAGGTGACAAACTAGGTCAATATCATCCCCCAAAGAGGGATGACTAGTGAAGACCACATCAGTGTTATCCTGAAGAACTGTGCTGTTTTCTAGTAAGCCCATTTAAATAGAGTATATTCTTTTTTTTTTTTTTTGGGTCCGGTCGTGGGGCCTGAACTCTGGGCCTGGGCACTGTCCCTCAGCTCTTCAGCTCAAGGCTAGCGCTCAACCACTTGAGCCATAGCACCACTTCCGGCTTTTTTCTTTTTGCTTATGTGGTGCTGAGGAATCGAACCCAGGGCCTCAGGCATGCAAGGCAAGCTCTCTACCACTGAGCCACCTTCCCAGCCCCTAAATAGAGTATATTCTTGCTGAATGTGGTGGTATATGCCTGTAATCCTAGCATTTGGGAAGCTGAGACAGGAGGATTACAAATTTGAGGCCACCCTAGGCTACATAGTGAGACCTTGCTCCGAAATAAATAAAACAAAGTGAAACAAACAAACAAGAATATAGTACCGTCTTAATGTTACTCATCAAATGTTTGAGTTTCTCTTTTTTTTCCCTTCCTTTTGTCGTGAAGAAATCCTAAGGAATGCCATTGCATCATGGTTGTGACTGAAACCAAACCCTTAAGCCTGAAATAAACTAACACTGTTCTTATCTTGGGCAAATTCACTGAAGTTGGTTAACCGGTTAGGTGGTAATCCTATCCTTTATGAGGCCTTTATTCTCTATTTGGATGTAATGCATGTCGAATTTTTAGCTCTGGCCATATAAAAACAATATTAATTATGGTAAATTTGCTTTGGCCTAGAAGGATGTTTGATGAGCAACTATTTACTGAGCATAAACTGTGTGCCAGAAAGTGTCAGACAATATCCAGAGCTGCTTTTGGTTCCAATTAGAGGAGTAAGCGATTTCCAAGATAGTTTCTTTAGGAAGAAGCATCATAAGGGAAGTAGCTAAGAGATTTACTTTGAAAACAAGCTTTATTGGGGGGAAATACTAAAGTTTGAATTGATTGCATAGACTTCCTGTTAGTATAATTTCCTTTTCCACACTAGGGAATGGCATAAACCTACATTCTATCTGTGTGTAATGAATTAATTGTCCTACATCATTTGTGTGTGTGTGTGTGTGTGTGTGTGTGTGTGTGTGTGTGTGTGTGTGCACGTGCATGTGCATGCATACGCACAAGTGTGCATGTGCCAATCCTGGGGCTTGAACTCAGGATTTGGGTGCTATCCCTCAGCTTTTTTGCTCAAGGCTATCAACCTACCACCCGAGCTACAGCTTCACTTCTGGCCCTTTGGTGGTTTATTGGAGATAAGTCTTAAAGACTTCCCTGCCTAGGCTGGCTTTGAATCGTGATCCTCAGATCTTAAGACTCCTGAGTAGCTAGAATTACAGGTATAAGCCATGGGCACCTTGCCTACATCAAATTTTTATTGACCAATTTCATCCCTTTATAGAAGAGAAAGATATGGAGGAGGTAGGAACTGGGCACTATATATGCCTGTGAGTCAGTAAAGACTAAAAAATAATGCTTCTTGTTGGTTGGTTATTTTGATAAATAATACAATAATTTTTGAGGTAACTGGAAGATCACTGGTTATATTGTATTTTTCAAGACAGTTTTTAGTGGAGTAAATAGATTAAAAATTTACTGTATAGTATTTGTGTTTAGGTTATAAAGAAAATAATCTGTAGAGAAGATTTGTGCAATAGATAATTAGTCCAGGTTAGTTTTCATTTGGGGAAAAGAGTTCTAAAGTATCTCTAAAGCAGTTTTTACTCCTCAACTCAAGGTTCTCCAAACAGAAAATCACTGGGAAACTATGATGTGTGGTAGTGGAAAAGAAAAACTCCTTCAGTTTTTGGAGGGAATAACTTTAAAATCACTTAAATGGCTATGTTTACTTGGTGTGATTAAGAATTAAACTTGCCAATTTTAACATTGCTGTTATATCTGAAATACACTTATGTGATGTCCTGGTTAAAAAAGGAAAAAGGGCTGGGAATGTGGCTTAGTGATAGAGTGCTTGCCTAGCATGCATGAAGTCCTGGGTTTGTTTCCTAAGTACCACATAAACAGAAAAAGCCAGAAGTATAGCTGTGGCTCAAATGGTAGAGTGCTAGCCTTGAGCAAAAGAAGCTCAGAGACAGTGCCCAGACTCTGAGTTCAAGGACTAGCAAAAAAAAAAGGAAAAGGAAAAGGAAAACAAGCTTTATTAATTCCATCAGACTGTAAGTAAGGTCTATGAGTTTAGTGAAACATGTAGCTTGAAGTAAACTTTTTTTTCACTTCCAGCTTTAATAAGTAAGTAGTAATATATTACTTTATATTTTACTTAAATAGGATGAAGTATGTGTTAGGCTATATTCTAACCATCACATTAGGCTATATTCTAAGCATCACATTAACACTGACTCACTAATCTGCACATCTGCTTGAAGTAGATGTTATTTCTACCCTTCAATTTTGTAGATGAAGAAGTGAGTCACATAAAGGCTCCACACCTTGCTTAAGTCTTTGTGGCTACAGATTCATGATGTTGGGATACAGGCAATCTTTTTCTACTGTCTCCACTAAGCTGCAAATAAGGTTTTTCTGAGAGGCCAAGTAACTTTGCCTAATTTATCATGTCTTCTGAGATCCTGTAATTGTTTGTCTCATCAAACTCCCTGTAAAGATCTTTTACTACCCAAATTTAATTGGATTTAGGACAAATTCTAAAATTTGCCTAATTTTGGAAAAGAGATTGAGTGCTAATATTCAATTCAATTTTGAACACCATGAAAAATTCTTTCTTTTATTTGTGCTAGTGTTGGGCCTTGAACTCAGGGCGTGGGCTTCTTTTTGCTTAAGGCTAGAGCTCTACCACTTGAGCCACAGCTCCATTTCCAGCTTTTTGGTAATTTATTGGAAATAAGAGTCTCATAGACTGTCTTGTCTGTGCCAGTTTTAGACAGTGATCCTTAGATCTTAGCCTCCTGAGTAACCAAGATTACAGGTGTGAGCCAACAGTGCCTGGCTTCTTTAAAAAAAAGATTGAAGGGAAAGAAAAAGGCAATAAAAAGAATATCTAACCCATTGAATGACTCACCCCCTGTTTGTTCCTGATAAACTTCAATCACATCTTCTTCCTCCATTCCTAGTTCTTTTGGAGTATGATTATCAGCAATTCTCTGAACTTCAAAGAGAAACCTAAGTGAGTTCATTGGATCTCTCTGTCTTTGACAGTCTGATTCTTTGAGTTTCTTGAGATGTGTTGTTGCTTTCACTTTTAAGCGAATCTCATTGCCAACTGAATATGGTTTTTCTCATGTGAGTAAAATGAGTAAAAACTTGATTTAGTCAAACTGATTGATGACTACAGATGTTTTCTTCTACATATACTGTCCAATGACTTTGAGTTCAATGTATTTTCCTTCCTTCTTATTCCTCAAGTCCTCAGTTGAAGTTTTTGCCTCCTGGTCAAGTATAGTGAAATGGCTTCACCCAGGGGTCTTCACACAGCATCAGCCTTGTGTCAGCAGAATCTTGCCTAAGGTCTCCTTTCTCCCACAGCACAACATTGCAGCTGCCAGGACTTCTGCTTTCTTAAAATGGCTATTTTTATTATATTATTATAGCTAGGTTTTTGTGACAGTTCTGGGGTTTAAACTGAGGGCCTTATACTCTCCCTTGGCTTTTTTTTTCACTCAAGTGTTGTATCACTTGAGCTGCACCTCTACTTACAGCTTTTGGTTTATTATTTGGAGATACGAATCTCACAGATTTTTTTTTCTGCCCAGGGTGCCTTTGAACCATGATCTTCAGATCTCAGACTCATGAGTATCTAGAATTCTAGGCACAAGCCACTAGCAACTGGTTTTTAGTTAGGTATCTTTTGGGAGCACTGATATGTGTCAGGTACTTGTGTCCGAGGCTCATTCTCACTCCTAGAGACCTTACCTGGGATACCTTTACCCTGCCTCAATCTTTTAGTCATTCAGTCTCCAAAATTTAGGAGAAAACCTTTTTTAAACTTTGTCAGCATGTGCAATGGCTAAATATTGTATCACATGCTACAAAATGTATGTGATTCTAGGCTACCCAGCAGGATTGAAATAGGCCTGCCAACAATCTTCTGTTGCTTATTCTACTTAGAAGGTGACTACATGAAGTCCTATTCCTCCTCTGCCTAAAATCAGAAGCAGTGAAGCAATAAAGAGCCTGTAGGATTTGCCTCAGGTTGGTCTGATGATTTCTGAGAATTTGTTGGCCTTGCAAACATGTGATTTTTTTAATCTATTTTTATCAGCTTTATTGATATATAATGGCATATAGTGAACCTGGTATCTCTATGTAGGTTGAATTTTGTTTCTCAGCAATATTTTGTAATTTTCAGCATATGTACAGGTCTTGCATATTTTTTTCAGATTCATTCCTAGGCTTTCTTTGATGCTATTTAAAATGGAGCTTTTTAATTTCAATTTTGATTATTACTAATCTATAGAAATAGAATTGATCTCTATATGTTAACCTTATTAACATACACTGAAATTACTAATTTCAGTATCTTCTTTTCCGAGATCAGACGAGATTGGGCATGTTCAGAGTGGTATGGCTGTAGACTAGTATCTTCTTTTGTAGATTTTACACATAGATAATCATGCAGCAAGAGTTTTTATCCTCCTTTTTAGTCCAATGCTTCTTTTCTTTGTCTTACCTGACTATGATGGCTGTAAACTTCAGTTTAGTGTCCATAAGAAGTACCAAGAACACAAACCTATGCCTTTATGATCTTAGGGGAAAACATACAGTGTTTCCCATTTAAGAATAAGTTTTTTTTTTGAGTTGCTTTTTAGGTGGAGAAAGTTCCCATTTCTAGTTTGCTGAGGAATTTTGTTGAAATATTAGAAACAAATTATTAGCATCTATTTCTGTAATCATACAGTTTGTTGGTGATTCATGCCTGTATTCCTAGCTACTCAAGAGGCTGAGATCTGAGAATTGCAGTTTGAAGCAGCCCTGGCAGAAAAGTCTAAGACTCTTAATCTCCAATAAACTACTCAGAAAAAGTCAGAAGTTACTCTGTGGCTCAAATGGTAGAGTGCTAACTTTGAGCAAAAGAAGCTCTGGACCAGCCCCCAGGCCTTGAGTTCAAGCCCAGATCTGGCACAAAAATATTTTAATATGGTGAATTACATTATTTTTTTTCCAATGTTGAATCAGCCTTGCAATCCTGAGATGAACCCTGATGGATCTTGATTATCAGTTTAATAAATTTGCCAAAATACTATTGAGTTTTATTTTCAGTGCTAGTGAGCTAGGCACTGGTGGCTCATGCCTGTAATCCTAGCTACTCAGGAGGCAGAGTTCTGAGGATTATGGTTCAAAGCCAGCCCAAGAAGGAAAGTTTGTGAGACTCTCATCTCCAATATACTACCAAAAAGCCAGAAGTAGAGCTGTGGCTTAAGTTGTAGAGTGGTAGCTTTCAGCCAAGAAGCTTACGGACAGCATACAATTCCTGAGTTCAAGCCCCAGAACCAGCATACACACATAAAAGAGTGCTACTGGGAGCCAGGCTTGGTAGTACAGACTTGTAATCCTAGCATGCAAGAAACTGAAGCTATATAGCTAGTTTAAGTTGAGCCTCATCTACATATCAAGACCCTGTTTTAAAAAATGAAAGGTGCTATTGCTCTTCAGTTTTCTTTCCTCAAAAGATCTTTAACAGGTTTTAATCTGAGACTGATACAACCTCAAAGATCAGGTGGAAAACAATTCTCTCTTCAATTTTCTGAAAGAACTTAATATAACAGGTATTTTTCCCCTCAGTTGTTTGGTACAATTTTCTAGTGAAGTCAGTTAGACTTGGAATTGGTGGGGGTGGGGAGGAGGGAGGTGTTCAACTAGAAATTCAGTTTTTAAAATAACTTTAGTGCAATTATGCTATCTTGTTTAATCTGCTTTGGTAAAATATACCTTTCAATGAATTTATACATTTCATCTATATTTCAAGTTTATTCTTATAAAATTCTTCACAGTATTTTCTTGTATTTTTATTTTTATTTTACTGTAAAGATGCTGTGCAAAGGGGCTACAGTTATATAAGTAAGGTAATCAGTACATTTCTTCCAATTTTAGTATATGTGCTGCCGAAGCGAGCACATGAGTACATTTCTTATCTAACATTGTTACCCACTCTTTCATTTTTTCCTACCATTACACCTTCCTTCCCTAACTCCTTACCCCCCAAAATTGTAAAGTTAATTTCCAACATAGTGTCTTGTGTATTTTTTTGTATTTTCACAAGTTGTAGTATCTATACTTATGTCATCTTTCTTATTCCTGATATTAGTATCTTGTCCTCTCATTTATCCATACCTGCTCCATTTATTTAGAGGTTGATACACTTATTGATCATCTCAAAGAGTCAACTTACAATTTTGGCTTTATTTCATCATATTTGTATTCGTATTTGTATTCTTATTCGTATTTTCTATCTCATTGATTTCTACTATGACATTTACCATTTACTCTGCTTACACTGGGTTTTACTTGCTCTTCTGTAAGATTTCCTTGCTTCCAGCTTGGGCATTGATTTCAAAACTTTTTTCTTTTCAAAATAAGAATTTAGTGGATAAATGACCATTTAAGGACTGCTGGAGTAGCATCCTATAACTTCTTATGTGGACAGTTTTCATTTTCATTGAGTTCAAAGTAGTTTCTAATTTTCCTTTTGATTCATGGGTTATTTAGAAGCCTATTAACGGTTTGCAAATATTTAGGGGATCTTTACCATTCTTTTTTTCTGTTACTCATTTTATACTTAATGCTTTTGTGGCCTGAGAACATATTAAATATGATTTGGAATCTTTTAAATTTATTCAGATAAAAGTCATTCAGGGGCCTGGGAAGATGGCTCAGTGGTAGAGTGCTTGCCTTGCATGCATAAGGCCCTGGGTTTGATTCCTCAGCACCACATAAGCAGAAAAAGCCAGAAGTGGCTCTGTGGCTCAAGTTGTAGAGCACTAGCCTTGGGCTGAAGAGCTGAGGGACAGCCCCCAGGCCCAGAGTTCAGGCCCCACAACCAGCCAAAAAAAAAATTCATTCAGAATTGCTTTATGGCCCGGTATATGGTTTACCTTAGTAAAATTTCTTTGTGCACTTGAAAAGAATATGCATTCTGCTACTCTTGGGTGGAGTATTCTGTAAATGTCAGTAGGGTCCAATTGTTTGCTAGTACATTTAAAGTTTTCTATCTTCTTTCTGATTTGCTTTCTATTTCTTGAGAGTGTCAGTTCTTGAGAGTGTTGTATTGAAATCTCTATGCTATAGGGTGGTCCATTTCTGCTTGAAGTTCTATCAGTTTTTGTGTCATATATTTCAAGTTTGGTGGTTGGGTGCTTACAAGTTTAGGATTATGCGTATCTGAGGAATTGTTTCTCTTACTATTATGAAAGACCATTTTTATTCCTAGTAATGATCTTTGCTCTAAAATCTACTTTGATGTTAATAAAGTTCTTTAATAATGTTTTTCAACTGTCTTTTGATTAGTGTTAGTGTGCAATATCCTTTCCCTGGCTTTTTTACTTTATTTTGTGCCAGGAATGGGGCTTGAACTCAGGGCTTGGGTGCTGTCCCTTAGCTTTTCCACTCAAGGCCAGTGCTCTACCACTTGAACCACAGTTCTGCTTCTGGGTTTTTGCTGGTTAATTGGCAGAGTCTCATGGACTTTACCACCTGGTGTGATTTCAAATCACGATCCTAAGATTGCAGCTTCCTGAGTAGTTAGGATTAGAGGCATGAGCCACTAGTTCCCCTGACCAACCTTTTTCTTTTTTTATTAATTTTTATTTTTTGTGAACATACTGTACAGAGGGGTTACAATTACATGGGCAAGATAATGAGTACATTTCTTATCAAGCATTTCAGCCTCCTCCTTTGTTTACCCTTCACATCCCTTCCCAGCCTTTTCTTTTTTTA